GCAAACAAGCAGAAGCATACAGGAGGAACAACGAGAGACCAGAGATGCACCAACACGACTTGCGCCACAACAAGCTAACAACGCTAACAGTTAGCAAGCTAACTCGGCGGCCAGTAATGAGCACATTGGCCAGCGAGCGCGATGGACAGCTGTCCCGGGGCGCCGGCCCTTTCTGGGGTCAATAAATGAATGTGTTTACTTGAAGAAGCAATACGTCACATACCGGGATACCGTCCGAATCTTTCTAAATACCGTGATATGTTTGTTTTTGACCATACCGCCCAGCGCTAGTCCTGCCCACTGAGAGATACTGATGTAATCAAGTCTAGGTTCTTCTACCAGAATAAATCCATGCACGCACACAATGATTTGTCCCTTGTAAATGTTTCCCAGGTGTGGATATTATGCTCTTTCTGGATTCTGCACGTCATGCTGCAGCTCCCTGCTGCTCCACCCATGTCAGCATAGACTACAGGGGATATTGGGAAAATGTGTCCGGCTTTAGTTCAATGGTGAAGTGTTCCTATGTTTTAACTGCAGTGCAGAATTCAATGAGCACATTCCAAGCACTGAATCAACAGTGTTCTAGTCATATTAGTAATGAGGCTCTGGATATTGACAATAATCCCTTTCATGACAAGTGATGACAATGAACCCGGGCTTCTTCATTCTGACATTTTTTTCCACTAGTTGTAGGTTTGTGTATGTGCACTTGGTTCAGTGCGTGTGTGAGGTGTTAACGGGGCGGGGCGGGCATGGAGGGATCCTTTTAGCGTGGCGAGTCTACATGTTTTCTGTGCAGTCAAGCTCAATAAATCAGATTAGAGCTTTTTGAGAGCAGGATAGAGCTGTGTGTGTGTGTGTGTGTGTGTGTGCGTGTGCGTGTGTGTGCGTGTGGTAGCATGAAAGTAAGGCATGTGATCGACTTGTCACACTTCTCAGTCACTATCAGTAAAATAAGTGGAGTGGTACGCCCTCTTTTACGTGCAATTACTGTAATTCAGACCGTAGTTGTACACATTGTGTTGTCGTCTTACCAATATTAATCCAGTCCTGTCAGTGGAAACTCCTCCTCTGTATTCTGCATCGCTAAGTGTTTGTCTCTGGCGCTCTATTTAAAAGGGAGATTATGCCGCTCTGCTCGCATTGGTCGCCTGCCGCCATGCTCGTGCTCATTGGCTGACGGCGGGCCCTGATGCAGCCAGCCAGAGAGCTGCTTCAGTGACGGGCAGATTATACGCCGCCGCGCCCGTTGAACACCCGTCCACATACGTTGATACTGTCAAATGCTGTTCCTCAGAGACAGAAAGATCAGTGTACACACAAAGGTCCTCACCTCCTGACTAATGTCCACCTCGCTGTCAGAGCGAGTGTATGTTGGTTAAGTGAAGTAGTGGTATCAACATTCTCATGACTTTGGGAAGGTGACTACTGTTGAAGGAAACTTCCCATTGGATTCCACCTGTAATTTAGTTTACACTCATTACTCACTACAAAATCCTTTTATTCTTCAAATAATAGGTAAATATTTCTGGTATGTAAGTACATGTGTATATACACAATTTTTTATTGCCATATGAAGACAGAAACATAACTTTAAAAAAAGTTAAGCCGACAGAGTGCTTTAGGGCGGGGCTACCTTGTGATTGACAGTTGGCTAGCACGACAATGCGCTGTTCATGCCAATGAATGTAACATCACATTTGTCTGAAAATATTTTATTCAGTTTTATTTGGCCAATCGCTTACGTTTTCCCCCTAAAATAAATTGTGTTTGAAATGTTTTTATTTGATCTTTTATATTAGAAAACATAGATTGTACTTGTATGTGTATTCTTGGGACACGCTATTAAATGTCCCCTAACTAAAAGCCGTTGAGTAATTGATACATGGTCACAAAGGAGTGACACATGCAGAGAGAGAGCGCCACCACGAGTGCTGCTACGGACAAAAAAACAACACTGTGGGCTGCTGAACCGTTCGGACACACACACACTCTCCGACCATCTGCACACCGTGTGGAACATGGAGCACTGTGCCGTCTAGGTGTGTGTCTTGAGGACAGCTGACATCAGAGGCTGTGCGGTGTTTCAAGTGTGGCACCTGCTCTCCTTTGTTCTCGCTGTCTCTTACTCCTGCCCCTCACTGTGACTCAGTGTGTGTGTGTGTCCAACACTCACTGCTGCCTCCCGTTTCTATAGCAACAGAATCTCCCTGTTCCTCCATGAGTATTTTTTAACGACTGCTGTGTGTGTGTGTGTGTGTGTGTGTGTGTGTGCGCGCGGCATGCCGCTGAACGTGGCGAGGTTGTCAATAGTCTGTGGGACGGTAATGAGTGCGTGCAGGCAGAGCGACGGTCATCTACGATGCGATCGAGTACAGGATTGTGGGCCCAGACGTCAGGGCAGTCACCAGCTACACAACAAACGCACACAGACACATCACACCGCCTATTTGTGTTCGGGCTGAGGTCGGACAGCTTTAGAGGATCAAGGCTTGTCACACAGCTGCTGCCACGCTGCTCTGTCACACGCACACACAGACAGGAAGTGATTGACACGAGGGGTTTGGAGTCGTCGTCATTCATCTTGTGCCGACAAAGCGGCAGATTGAGCAGAGAGAATGACGAGGCTTCCGTGTCACCGGCACACCGTTCACATTGTGATGATGATGAAACAATTGATTCGGTGCTTATAAACCGTTTGCATTTGAGAGTGTCAAATTCATCACAAACGGATGTTCACAGTTACCAGTTTTAAGCAATCACAGGAAGGTAGAGGGCCCTCCCAATTGAATTGACCATGTTTCGCATTGACTTCTGGTCATGCCATACAAGCGTGTGAGTTTGAGTAAATATGTGTACGCATATTGTCACAATGATCTATATTTAGCGCTGCAATGGGGCGGAAAACATCCGGAAACTTTCCCTCAGAAGTAAGGCTCTCAAAAGCCTATAACAGAGAACTTAAACGTAGTTCAGAAGAAGAAGCCCTGCTCAGCTGGGCCCTGCCAGAGACGTAAACATAACACGTTGTGTAGTCTTTGAACGTCTGTGTCATTACCAAGCATACTGTTTACTTGTAAACAGTAGGCCACCTGAGGTGAGGTTTAGGATTATTCACGACTGTTTGGGTCCACCCAAAGCTTGGTTGGACCACGATCATAAATAAAAGTAATTCCTGCAAATGAAAGACTGAGCAATTAAAAACTATATTCTACTATTTTATTCTAACGTTTTCATCATGTTTTTGTTGTTCAATGAAAGAACAGCGTTCTACTCACAAATGGATTAGGTCACAAATTTGCAAATGATCCTGATCTCCACCAGGCGCAGACGCACACCGCTCATTGTGTCAGTGGGGTCTGTAACCAGGCGCAGACGCACACCGCTCATTGTGTCAGTGGGGTCTGTAACCAGGCGCAGACGCACACCGCTCATTGTGTCAGTGGGGTCTGTAAGGGGAAGCCGTGACTGGCCCACTCAGGTCAGCCCTATAATTCCCCGTCCCGACACGGCCTGATATGTTTACACTTTTTAATGCTACTTCAGACCGTTACAGTCATACACACAGCCTGGCAGGGTAGATTGTTCCATTCGATGTATTGGAATATGATTTAATACTACCATTAAGAGACAGCCGATAGAAGGATAGAAAGATGAATGCAAACAGTCTTTCACTCAGTTTAGTGTTTCCTTTTACTGAGAGGGACTCTGCTGCATAATCAGAAGCTCAAGTCGTATTTCTCCCCACCGAGTCCGTCTCCGGGCCACACAACAGGACCGCGTTTATTCAGTAGTCCTATTCAAGCTCTGAATGTGATCGCAGAAGGACGTAAACTGGAGGGGCTGGAAACCGATTAGTTCCTTTTTATACTCTGATTTTTGGAATTTGAATTTGATTTGTACAAAAATAAAATATGAATCAACAATGATGGTCCAATAATTTTAGTAATGAGGAAGGTGCGGAAAATGTTAGTTGATCAACTGGAATATTATCAACTTACTTTGAGCCTGTCTCTCCTTTGACTGAGGAAAGCCTGACTATAGACCACCAGTCAAATGAATACAGGACAGAGCGACATTATGATGTGTTCAAATATTATCATTTATTGAAAGCATTTGAATAAACCCAGTTGTTTGAGTGGTAATAAAATACAAACATCTATTTTCTAACGCTCTTATTTTCTCTGCTGTATATTAGCTGTTGCTCCTGAGTAACGCTGAAGCGTTTTGTTTAGTCCATGGAGTACCTCCACTAGCAGAGCAGAGCGGATGTTACTGACCCTGAGACCGGGGCAGATGGAGGTCCATCCTTCTAGTCTGATCAGGGATCAGTGGAGACTGATGTGACTGCAGCAACAGCACACAAAGGGAGGACCCGCTCAGGTAGCCGCCTCCGAGCCTGCTGCACTCAGTCGACTGTAGCAGTGCATCGGGGGAGAGGGGGAGGGCGGGAGGTGGACTGAGGAGAGATGCACCCGTTGATCCCCCCCCTCTCTCTCTCTCTCTGGCTCTGCCTCTCTCTGCCTATTGAGGAAAGCGTGGGGGATGGTAGAGTTATATTGAAGCAGGAGTGAAGGAACAGTCAGAGGAGTGAGTTTAGATCAAATGAAGACGGGAAGATGGCTAACACAAGAACAGTCCGCCACTGGATAATATTCCAGTACTCAATGTGTTTAAATACCTTTACGTTATAAATGACTGAGATCAAACTTTATTATCAGCTATCATCCTACAGCTGCTGTAGCGTCACTCGTTCATCCAAAATCTTAATTCTTTTCATATTTTTTACTCTTTATTCACGTTCTTTACTATTTTTTATGTGATCTGAACCAACCAAATGTGTTTTCTTGAAATAGATGCACGAGGTATTCTCTAATTCCACATCTATGTCTCTGTTCTTCTTCGTCATAAAATGTGTCAGATGTAAAATACAAAACCTAAATTGCGCTAAGGCTATGATTCTGTCACTGAAGGCTCCCTCTTTGTGCCATGTGCAGGTATACGTGGAGTTCGACGACCAGGAGTGGGAGAAAAGAGAGTGGGTGAAGGTCTACGAGGATTTCCAGCTGTTTCTCCTGGAGCACCAGCTGGTCTGGGCCAAGAGGACGGAGGGAGGAGGAGGAACAGGGGGAGGACTGCTTCAGGGAACCAAGACCAAACACATACAGTGGCCTGCCCTGGTAAGACCTTTGTGTTTCTATTTATAGACCAGGACACAGTAGTAGAAGAAGCACCACACTTCTGGATCACTGTGGAAGCTCTCTATGTGCTGGTTCATATGTTTGTCTTTGTGGTGACTGAACCATGTTCTATCCCTGTGGTTTCAGACACAGTTAAGCCCTTAAGTCCCTGTTGTGTTGAGACTAATATCCCCCCCAGCTGAGCTACTTAAAGGTGGGCCTCAGGTAGTCTGGGAGAGGAGAGGGGAGGGGCTAGAGCAGGGGTGCCCAATAGGTCACTTCGGTTGAGGATTTCTTTTTTCCATTTAAAAGTTCAACTCGGTTCTGTGGACTTTCCGAATGTGCGGAGATAATTGCTATCATAAATAAATGTGGTTTCCCTGGATTTCCCATTTCCGTTCATTCAAAAACGGGCACATTTGTTTAGGAGACGCATATGTTTGTGTTTATTCTCAGCACAGTGGTTTTGTACATTACATTACATGTCACTTAGCTGATGCTTTTATCCAAAGTGACAATAACCATAAGGATACAAACCCATTAGACAAGAAACAAGGAAAGCAGAATTTTACAATTTACAACTTGCTATGGATAAGAGACGTTATACTGTAAGTACAATTTAAGTGCTACACTGTTTTGTGTTTTTTAGTCAAGCTATCGTCTGAAGAGGTGAGTCTTTAGTTTGCGGCGGAAGATGTGAAGGCTCTCTGCGGTCCTGGTGTCTTCAGAGAGCTCGTTCCACCATTTCGGAGCAAGGACAGCAAAGAGTCGTGATCTAGTCGAGTGTTTTGCATGGTACGTGAGTACCAGTGTTTAGAACTGGATGCGGGCAGCCACTGGCAGCCAGTGAAGAGAGGAGTGGAGTGTGCGGGTTGGGATGTCGGGTTTGACCATGTTCTGGATGTAGATTGTTTAGAATTACGCCATTTCTTTTCCGATGCTCGCAGAGTGGCTTTCTCGGCACACACCGGCTCAGACAGACCTGGGCCAGACGGGGTTTGCCGACCTGTCGTGTCGTGAAAGAGGACAGAGAGAGTCGAGAGAGGAGGACAGAGTTGAGAGTCTCTGCGGCAGCGTTCGGATATAAGAGTGATAAAGAGTCTGTTGAGGGGAGAGCTGATACAACAGAGGAGGCCAGAGAGGAGGGAGAGATGGAGCAGATGTTGCGACAAACCGGTACAGAGTTAATTGATGGAGTGGGGTCGTTAGTTAGAAACAGTGGACGAGAGTAGGTGATGAAGAAGTGGTCAGACACGTGGAGTTACAGTGAGGTTAAAGGTAGAGCAGTTTCTGGTGAAGATGTAGTCAAGGTGATTGCCAGCTCTGTGAGTGGGAGGAGAGTGACTGAGTGAGAGTGCAAAAGAAGAAAGTAGGAGTAAAAGGTCAGATGACTTCTCTGTCTGGATGTTAACGTCTCACAGGAGGATGACCGAAGGGTCATTCTCAGGGAAGTTGGACAGGAGGATGTCAAATTCTTCATCCAAGAAATGACCCAAAGAGAACGGCGGACGCTGTGCAGTGTCTCCGTTAGGGCTGCAACAATGAATCGATTCATTGTGTCGCGTGGTTATTACGTCACTCAATGAGTTGCGGAGATGCGGGCGGAGCAAAAATAAAAGCGGCGAGCCGACGTAGAGGAAGGAGCAGCCAGCAGTGCCGGCAGTTGTTGTGAGTCACATGACACTGACGTCTGTTCGACTAGTCGTCCGGTATGCGGGCATTGGGGGAGGGGGGTTGGACACTACGGAGGTTGAAGAGGAACCAAAGTCCGATTATTATCTTATTTTTTTGCGTGATAGATTGGATGTGTGGCGGGAGTGCGTCACTAAAGGCCGAAATGAGTGACTGTCACGCTCAATGCATGAGAGCCCTGAAAGAGTGTCAATGGCAAAATATGCAAAGTCGACGTAACTTTGCACGGGAGCACCACGTTGTCCCATTTTGAAGTGAGGACCGTAACGTGCCTCCGGCTGCTCTGCTGCTGCGGTTTACTCGTCATCCAGCTGATCAAGCTAGCGTTAGCTCGCTAATAACCGCGCAGTTAGCAAGACTAAGACACATTTTTATTTACTTGCCTCTTTTGGACCATTCATTTTTCAATCTGTTATCTTGCATATATGTTGTGCTTTGTCCCATTTTGGTTATTGTTGACAAATATATCTGTATGTGTTTTTGCATTTTTAATGCTGTAATATACGGTAGTCTAGTGCGCTTGCGCATATACTGTGGATTATACGGTAGTTGATGTTTCGCCTGTAAAGGGAGACATCTATTAAACCAGCGCCTCTAATGCATAAGAAGCCTCTAATGCATTTATTTACAAATACCATTTTAAATTCATCTCATAGCACCTGGTTGTTTTTTAGCTGTACTTTGATGGGGTGTATACATTTACTTAACTTGCACAAAAATGATGGTAATAATTTAATGAATAAGCTTCAAGTGAACATGGGGTGTGTGTTAGTGAGTGTGAGAGTTTGTGAGTGCAGTATAGAGAACTAGTTCTGACCTTAAAACAAATCCTGTTACATTTTCTGATTTGTATTTTTCGTAATTTTTTATAAATTATTATGGAGGAGTGAGCAACCTGTACTTTCTGAAGTATTTTTGCAATGTGAATTTGCAGTTCTGTTGTAGAATAAGGGGGTGGAAATTAAAGCTTTTTAATGCTGTTTTTTAAATCCGATTTATCGATTAATCAACCGATTAATCACTTATCAAAATATTCGTTAATTGCAGCCCTAGTCTCCGTCAGACTTGTCGAAGATCTAATTCTAATTTTCACTGTTCTTCAGAACTGTGTAGAGGGAACTCTTCCCTCTTTGAGTTCCTCGGGACCCTTAGTTCTAGACACATTGTGCTTTTAGTCCCATCGTGTTACTTTGATTGGCTGAATTCCAAATCCAGAGAAAACCCATGATGGAGTTGTTGCCTCCGCACAGCTCTCAACATGGCGGCAGTCGAGCCGTTGGTCAATCAGTGCAAACAACAGCAACAGGCATGCAGTTCCTCGACCAGTGTTTCCACCAAGGTTAGTTGGATCCTGAAAACAGTGAAACCACAACTAACCACACTAACCAATGTGCTGCAGACCATGTAAACAGCTGCACCTGGAACAGTGTTGAATAGATAGTCTAGGCTTTTTGTCAGTAAATATGTTATTATGCAGTAAGTACACAGGTTCTGGCCATGATTGTGCTGTTTCCATAGAGGTGCATGACTTCTATATTGCAGTAAAAATAATAGACAAGTGGGAACTGACAGGAAACCAAAAACCAAAACCAAACCGCTGGAGGTTGAGGGTTAACATGCGATTGTCTGATAGTGGTTTGAACAGGTGTGTGTGTGTGTGTGTGTGTGTTTATAGATGAACACATGATGCTGCGTCTGCACTCACTCACTCACTCACACACACTGAGCCACTGACACACACGCTTTGATGTGTCGCTGTGGTTCCTGTGGTGTCTTTGTTTAATCTCTGTGTCTCACCATTCCTCACGCACACACTGCAGCACACCGAACACACACCACAACACATCTTATTTCACTTTTGTCCCCCGTGGGATGGTGTTCTGCAATGTTTGACATAGACGGCCTATAGTTCCTTGTGTGTGCATCTGTGTGCCCGACTGTGGTTCAGAATGTGTGAGCATGCAAAGGCACACCACCATCTGGCACGCGCACAGCAGATAAGAGTTGAAAGACGACTTGTTGTTTTCTCTCTCTGGCTCCTCCTCCTGTGTTTTTACACTCAAGTCAAATCTCTGCCTCTCCACTGCTAATGTAATAACGACACTATCAACATGTAGTACAGACATCGACACGTACCAAAGGGAAGTGAAGCTGTAAACGTTTGTCATCTCATGCGTTCCTTCAGAAATGTATCTGAAAGCATGTATCTTCTTTTTGTCCGGGTGTTTTCTTGCTCCTTAACCCTCTGAACTTTGGCCGTTTTTTTTCTTCTCCTCTGGTAGTTTATGTCTATTTCAATTTTCACTGCAATGTAAAAGACTGCACCTCTATGAAAATAACACAATCGTGGCTAGAAGCAGGGAGAACGCAACCATGTCTTTATCTTAGTATGCCATAAATAAAAATAAACAATCAAATATATATATAAATATTCATATTGCATTTACAATTTTCCTCAAGTCTTCCCAATTGTGAAAACAATGGATGCTTACAAGATTTATATTGCGTGTTTTTACAAGCTCTGCTCTGCTCTGTGGTCAGCAGACTGCAGATCAGTCAAAAATTCAAAGCTGAGTGTGTTGCTTGCTCATGTGCAGGCGTTGAACTCGTCTGCAAGACCGCTGATGTTGATCATTGACATCTTCACCTAGAAAACAGACCCTCCACAGCCAATCACAGATCAGCCCTCGCACAGACGAGCCAGCAGATTGCTTGTGTACTTATCACAGAGTTACATGACTACATGACCTCAACACACACACACAGTGTCTCTCTGCTTTCTCATGGTTTGCCATTGTTGGCCTCCTGTTTGTCTCTGTCGCGCATAAATCCAGTAATTAGTTGTTTTGTCTCCACAAGTGGGTCAAAGGGTCATTAGACAAGGCAGTGAACACGGGCAAATCAGTGCTTCTTAGGGTTAAGTTAAGGACACATGAACATGAACTAGCAAAGCCTGGTATCAAACCACTAACTGTCTAATCTCTCTCTCCACTGAGCCGCAGGATCCAAGTGATACCCGGGACAAGGTGTATTCATAGTTTTAAACGTCGGCAGTTGGCATCACACCGAATACTTTGGATAATGGTGAAGAAAGTCCACATTCATACTTCTTGTTGTGATGATTTAAGTTCTAACGTATCAGCATCACCAGATTGTTATAATTGAATGATGGCCCGGTGAAACGGTTTCATTTAATAGAACATTTTCCACTCCTCCCATCCATCACCCAGGGGCTTCTTTGTGATTGGCTGAGGAAGAGTTACCCTCAGACCTCATCAGGAAGCCAAGAACCAATGTAGCACTCACTT